TATAGCAGCTGATTAAGAGTCAATTATTATTAGAAAGTCTTGTTGCAGTGGGGAGGAACACTGTATAACATACGAGTATAACATTAGATTATGAATAGATTTCGTACATTAAGCCTACTTGTTTATTTTTTTTTATATATTTTTTCATACATGATGTTTATTTTTTTTTTTAATGTGACAAAAAACAAAAATCAAGAAAAAAGTGACATCACCCTTTTTTCTGAGCGGCGCTTTCTGATTGGTCCAGCCGTCCTTCAATCAACCTCCTGGCCCCGCCCACCTCGGTCTTGACAGCGAACATAAAAAGGACATGTACCCGGTCGCTACTTAGCTCGCTAATTAGCCTCTTCAAAGAGCCTCGGACCTTATTGACGTCCGATGCTTCAATTTATCACAAATAACAGCATATATGTAGTTAACTAGTCTTTTTAAATGGCGTTCAATGGCCACCAGCGCGACGATGAACGTATCGACGAAGACGAAACGCCCACGAAGCAGCCGCGGTCCGACAAGGAGATGCCCGGTTGTTTCAGAAACGAGCCCAACAATGAGGCGTCCGCGTCCGCCGGGAGAGCCACATCCGACCGGCGGAGCTCCAACGCGACGTCGAGGCAGCGGATCGACTCGGTGAAGAAAACAAGGCCGCGTAGGTGTTAACGTTGCTGGCGTGAAAAAAAAGTGTTTTTACTGTTTATAAAAGAAATAAAAAGGCGTTTCCCATTAAAAGACAATGAGTGAGGATACAGACTTGGAGGTGGGGGTAAAAAAAATAATATAATGAGCTGCAGAAATACCTTTAAAATATAATTTAAATAGCGCTTTTATGCACTGTGATGGTGCAAAAACTGCCCAAATGATTTTTGCATCGGGTGTACGATGTAATATCGGTGAGCTGTAGTGGCAGCAAATAGCCAGGATCTGGTTTGCAACAAGATGGCGTTCGTGGTACACACTGTGCTATTGCTGCTTCTGAGGATGAAGCTGCTTGTCATTATGTCGGCCAACAATGAGACATCAGCTCTGTTTGTCTGCACTAAGCATTTATATATTAAAGGATATTGTTCAATGCAGGAAAACTGTGATCATACATTTATTTTTTTTGCATTTCATATTGCAGCTTTTCCCTGGTTTGGGATGGACATTGGAGGCACTCTGGTGAAGCTGGTGTACTTCGAGCCCAAAGACATCACAGCAGAGGAGGAGCAGGAGGAGGTGGAGAACCTGAAGAGCATCCGGCGCTACCTAACCTCCAACACCGCCTATGGTAAAACAGGCATCCGGGACGTGCACCTGGAGCTGCAGGACCTGACGCTGTGCGGCAGGACGGGCAACCTGCACTTCATCCGCTTCCCCACGCACGACCTGCCGGCCTTCCTGCAGATGGGCCGCAACAAGCACTTCTCCAGCCTCCACACCACCCTCTGCGCCACGGGAGGGGGGGCGTACAAGTTTGAGTCTGATTTCCGCACGGTGGGTCTGCAAGTTGTCCTCTCTTGTGTTGCTTTTGCAGGCTGGACAGCGACGATGGACAGGAAGGAAAGATGAGAGTGAGATGACAATAAAAAGGGCGTATTAGTAGATGTTTAATTCTATAAGTCGTCATGCAAATTGGCAGAAATCAAAGGAAATGAATTATCTGACGCATTGTTAAGATAACCTTTTGTCTTCTGGGCCACGATAAAGCATTTGTTAATTAATCTGGGCAATTTTAACAGTGATGACAATGAGATAATACATTATTGTTGCACCATGTTCTATATTTATATCAAACTGTGCAATGTGCAATTAAACCTGTTAATTTAGGCAAGAAAAAAAATCTAAATTAGCTGTGAATTGTAATCAAGTTCCTGTTTTCTTACCCCCCCCCCCCCC